CCGCAAATTGATGGCTGATTTCTCACAAGCACGCCGGGAGGACGAGACCTGCCCATTTTTGTGTTGATTTATCACCGAGGCGGCCGATAGATTCGATTGTTTTCTGGGGTGGGATTGGCAGATTTCCAGAGTCCTAAAGAGTCTCTGCTAGCCTGCCCTTTCCTAAAGAATCTCTGCTAGCGTGCCCTTTCCTAAAGAATCCCTGCTAGCCTTCCGTTTCCTAAAGAATCGCTGCTAGCCTGCCCTTTCCTAAAGAATCTCTGCTAGCCTGCCCAGGTCCAATAATCATAACTTCCGCCAAATTCCGATGACTTCACTACGTAACCATCCTAAAGACGCAAAAATTCGTGCGATTCCCCCCTGGTTTTGTGCTGTTGTCAAAATACAAGCTAGTCATACAGGAAGACTCATCGATTATACCACGCCCATCTATCGGCACTGACGAGCCGGCAACGATTTTTTAGCACATTTTGTACTTTTGGCTTTTCCTATAGCTAGCTAGCACGGATTCTTTAGGAATGGGCAGGCTAGCAGAGATTCTTTAGGAAAGGGCAGGCTAGCAGAGATTCTTTAGGAAAGGGCAGGCTAGCAGAGATTCTTTAGGAAATGGCAGGCTAGCAGAGATTCTTTAGGAAAGGGCAGGCTAGCAGAGATTCTTTAGGAAAGGGCAGGCTAGCAGAGATTCTTTAGGAATGGGCAGGCTAGCAGAGATTCTTTAGGAAAGGGCAGGCTAGCAGAGATTCTTTAGGAAAGGGCAGGCTAGCAGAGATTCTTTAGGAATGGGCAGGCTAGCAGAGATTCTTTAGGAAAGGGCAGGCTAGCAGAGATTCTTTAGGAAAGGGCAGGCTAGCAGAGATTCTTTAGGAATGGGCAGGCTAGCAGAGATTCTTTAGGAAAGGGCAGGCTAGCAGAGATTATTCAGGAAAGGTCATGCTATTTTGATAAAAACAGCCATGTTTCGTATTTAGCCATGCCCTGTTATTCGCCTCCACTTAATCAAAGTTCCGAAAAACACACCAAACTTGACGAGGGGCCTGTTTTTCCGCGGCGATCCCCTGTACGGGCGCCAAAATAGGGCGCCCCCGGTGTGTTCGGTGTATCGCTGTGGAAAAAGACGAGGGGGCGATGAAAAATGATATTGATAGGTGGGGGAAGACGGATGGTCATGTCATTTTTCCTTTCTTTTCCAGGGGGTTCCGGGATGGGGTGATCGATCATGTTAAAGGGGGTGGAACAGAAGGTATTTGCTCTGTTTCTTTCTCTCTCTAGCTCTCTCTCTCTCTTTCTCTCTCGCTCTCTCTCTTTCTCTCCAATTCTCTCTGCTAGCCTGCTATTCTCTCTCTTTTCAGCGATGATCCACGTCTTCAGCCATCCGATCGAACCCACGGCCCTTGACGAATTTCACAAGGCCCGAACCCCGGAAGGGGAAGAGCCGGCGAATCGACTATTTGATGCTACGGTAGGACGGCCAACTTTTAGAATCTGATCAAATTGATTTCTTTTCTTTTCTTAAATTCTAATCTTTGTCACTTCAGGTGATCCGAGTGTTAAAAATTAGTTCTCTCGAGAAAACAATTTCCTCCTATCTTTTCCGGTTCTCCGGTTCGCGGCGGGGCCCGGAAAAATACCATCCCCGTATTAGCGTTGTTTTCTGGCATAGAAGTTAAAATTTTATGCACAAGAAAACATGACAGGCTGCTAAAATTTCCAAAAATTGCTGAGGAAGAGACAGCTAGCAGGGTTTCTTTAGGAAAAATTCGTGCCTTCCGAACACTTTTAACGCTGCTCCGGAGAATTTTTAGAGGTCTAATTTAGAAGACTTTAGGACCTTTAGGTTTCGTGGGCTATTTAATCTTTAAAGGAGCTAACAAGCAGAAATCATTTGCTCGCCTGAAATGAAGGGGATTTAGGCGAATTCAGTGGCATACGAGCCGCGATAATTTCGGAAAAGGGGAACGCATACGAGCAGCAACTGCAGCTGATCAAGCAGCAGTTGATCAGAATCCTCCGGGTGCTTGATACCTTTAAAGTCCTCTCAGCTGCCTGGTTTTTTTTTGGCGCCAGTCGGGCAGAGCTCATTTAAGAAAATATCATACTTTCTCGGCACCTTTATACACCCCAATTGCCAATCCGTGAGATCAGGTCACCTGTCGCGGAATGAGTTTCGTCCCGGAAATTCCCGCATCCACAGGGGAACGATTTCCCCAATTTCGGTGTGTGTGCCGGGGGTCCGAGCATGAGTCAGAGACACGGTGTGTCGAAATTCCTGGATTCTCAAGCGCACCCATGACTACACGCTACACCCTAATGACGCACACGCATTTTTGCGGGATTGGGCTGGAATTTGGAGGGTTTTGGAATGGGAATAATTCGAAAAATCGCTAATAAAATGCAGATTTTCTAATGAGTTTCGTATACTTTCTCAACAGCGTTGTGTAGGTTTTTAAAAAATGTAAAAAATACTTTAACAAAGCGCTTTTTACAGACGAAACGCCGCAAAGAGGTGAAATATCTCGCGGACGGGCGGAAAGAAGTGGATGGAGCGCTGCAGGAGAAAAAGGTATGGATTTTCTCTCTCTCTCTCTCTCTCTCTCTCTCTCTCTTTCTCTCTCTCCCCTATCATTAATGCTTCTTCCAGGCCCCAAACGAGTTGTGGGCTACGACGATCACGCGCGGAATGGCGCAAGAGTGGCGCGAGCGCGCTGAGGGCGGACGGCTGCATCAGGCCCGCATCTACTGTAAGTTCGCTTGAAAATCAGGGCAAGCTAGCAGAGCTTCTTAAAAAAAACGAGGGCAAGCTGGCAGAGGAGCTTTGCGGAAAGCTTTGACGTAGCTTGCTAGCAGAGATTCTTTGGGAAAGGGCAGGCCAGCAGAGATTCTTTAGGAAAGGGCAGGTTAGCAGAGATTCTTTAGGAAATGGCAGGCCAGCAGAGATTCTTTAGGAAAGGGCAGGCTAGCAGAGATTCTTTAGGAAAGGGCAGGTTAGCAGAGATTCTTTAGGAAAGGGCAGGCTAGCAGAGATTCTTTAGGAAAGGGCAGGCTAGCAGAGATTCTTTAGGAAAGGGCAGGCCAGCAGAGATTCTTTAGGAAAGGGCAGGTTAGCAGAGATTCTTTAGGAAATGGCAGGCTAGCAGAGATTCTTTAGGAAAGGGCAGGCTAGCAGAGATTCTTTAGGAAAGGGCAGGTTAGCAGAGATTCTTTAGGAAAGGGCCGGCTAGCAGAGATTCTGCAGGAAAGGCATCTGCAGAGATTCTCTACCTCAAAAAACGCAAGAAACCCCCGAATTTCCAGCCCACCCAATCCCGATCCCACCCCGAAAACCCAAGGTAAAACCAAGCCCCCGCGCTTCTGCCTCTTTTTTGCCGTGCCGCTTGCCTTGTCTTCGCGAGCTCCAAAATTCGCACCAAAATCGCCAATTTCGCGCTTCCGCGTTGAAATCAAATTTTAAAATGGATTTCTTATATTTTGCCCGTGTTTTAGTGCGTGAGATGGTGTCCTCGGTGGGGGCGTTGCTGAAGCGGAACTCGCCGTCTGAGGGCGTGACGACGGCGCTGCTCGTCGCGCTCAACCTCTGCCTCCTCGCCACTCTTCTGCGCATCATGAACGTGTTTTGAAGCGTCGCGTAATCGCTACTGTACGTCTCGAAAGCGCAATTTTCGGGAATTTGGGCGTTTTTCAGTCGAAATTCGACTTTTTTTATGACCAAAAGTGCTACTTACGTCTTTTGTGGCGTCGCGTAGTCTTTGGGAACGTTGTGAAAGCCCAAATTTCAAAATTTGGGTAGTTTTCGCAGCATTTCCCTCGACATTTGCCCTACTTTCGACCGGAAGCCACGCTTATTCCATAGAGCAACGAATTCTGAGCAAGAGCCCGCTTTTCAAAGCGATAAAAAGCAACAAAATGATAGTTTGTTACTGAAAAAAGCAAGTTTTAACATTTTTTACACGGATTTTCCGTTGAATTTAACGTAAAAAGTGTATAAATCTAAGAATTTAGAGCAAAAAAAATAGTTTTAGACGTGAGAAAAACTATAGTTTATCACCTTAAAATCAAAAATGTCATGTTTTCGGTGATATTTCCTTTAATTTTAACGCTAAATCATTGAAAAAAAAACATTTTTAAAGTATATTTAAAGTAACCCTACGATTTTTTGGCTCAAAATACTGCTCAGAGTTCTTTAAAAACCCTTTTTCTGCCTTTTTTCGATTTCTAATGTATTATCTTTGCTCGTTTTTGCCTTTTAACTCCCTTTTTCATGTAAAATTTGTTACATACCTTTTTGTTTTGTTAAACACTCAATTTCCCATAAAGCCTACGTGAGATTCCTCTGGACACCCCCATTCCCTGCCCCCCAAACAAAATTCCCCTCCGATATTCCGAACGGGTTTCCGCGCCACCAACTCTAAACTCCCACAGATCAACGTTCCCACAGTTTTCTTTCGTTTTTTATGTATTTTGTAGTTTGTAGTTTAACGTGATTTTCCCCGAAATACATGTCGTGTTCGATTAGGGTTAGCGCACAAATGGTCAAGCGGAATTTGTCGCCTGGTGTACATAATCTTTCGGAAATCGCCTACACGTCCAATCGTCCCCATTTGAGTGCAGCTTTTCCGAGTGTGCGCGGCAGAGGAGAGAGAGAGAGAGAGAGAGAGAGATCTGAAAAACTTGAATAAACATTTACGAAACCTAAATTTATCAAACATATAGACAATTTATTAGCGCAATCACCAAATCAACAAAAAAGGGAAAGGAGCGAGAGAGAGAGAGAGAGAGAGAGAGAGAGAGAGAAAGAGAGCGAGAGAGAAAGAGAGAGAGAGAGAGAGAGAGAGAGAGAGAGAGAGAGAGAGAGAGAGAGAGGCAGACAGAGAGAGAGATCAAAAATATCCACAATTTATTTCCGCGAGTATTCACCGAATCAACACACAGCGAGCATTCAATCGAACAGCATGTCTTTTTAAGCGTAATCAGCAGCGTTAATGGGTGCGGCTCGTAGTCGTCTAGAGCACATCGTAAAAGTCCTCGTAGAAGGGGATGCGCTGGCGGCGGATCGAGCCGTACTGCTTGTCCTCGTCCTTCGACGGCTCGGCCAGCTTCTCGTTCGGTTTCACCTGGGAGAAATCAGCTTCTTAAAGGGGCGTTGAAGGCAAAAGAGGGGGTGGTTTAGCTATGTAAAAATTGCCCACATTGGTGCCGATTGAGACCTCCTTTTCGAGCTTTTCCTTGAACTCGATGTGCTTGTCGTCCTTTGTTTTCTGGGGGAACCCTGGAAAATGGGACTTTTAGGCAGGCTAGCAGAGATTCTTTAGGAAACGGGGAGGCTAGCAGAGATTCTTTGACCTTTTCCTGAGATCAGAATCGATTTCGGCTTCTCGTATCGGCCCGTTCTGAGGTATTCCCGCGCAGCTCGGCACCCAATCTCAAGCGAGTCGGCCGCCATTTGAGGTCGACCTTCGATCGTCCTAAAAAGGGTATTTTTGAGCGAATCGAGAGAGAGAGAGAGAGAGAGAGAGAGAGAGAGAGAGAAAATCCTCGGCTTCTCCTACTTTTCGGTGATGTCATCAGCAATTGCCCGGGCGACGTGCTCGAAAATCGGGCGCTCGACGATGCATTTCAGCTGCCCCTTCGACTGCATCAACTCTAAAAAATTTTGTATCAAAGGAAAGGCAATCTAGCAGAGATTTTTTGGGAAGCCCTACCAGAAATGCGTCGAATCAGCAGCTTTGCGTTGTCGCCGATCGACTCGCCGTCGAGCTCGAGGATGGCGTCGCCGGCGATAAGCGTCCCGTCCGCCACGCTGCCCTTGGCCACCTTAAAGGAATAATAAAGCTCGTATACCTTTGTGTAGAATCTAGATTTTTGTGAAGTTTATAGCGCAGTCCGCAGTGCTCCTATTGACGGGCTGACCTGCCCGACAAAGATGCGCTTCTCCTTGGGGCCGGCGACGATGCCAAGCGGTTGGCCCTTGGTCGGGTCGCCTGGAAAGATGGTTTTAAAAGTATTGAGAGATTAATAGCTAGCGGTTTTCCAATAAACACATAAAAACGATTATTTAGATACTTTCGCATCAAATTTATAAGTTTTTACTATAAAGACCGATTTCTTTGTAATTTTAGGCCTGTTTTCAGCGTTAAAATTATCCAGGAAATATAACAGAAAAAGTATTAAGCGTTTTATTAAAGTTTAAGTTTAACAAACGCCTTTTTAGAGCGTAAAATCCTCTGTATTCTTTCCAGAGATCTATATTTTACAAGATTTTTGCATTTTCCCGCTTTTAAAGATAGCTGTAAACGTCAAAAAAACGTAGAAAAGGTTTTCTGTAGCACAAAAGCACAACCTTGACCGCAGTTCAGCCCCAAATACATAAACTGCGGGCGGCGCTTGACGCCCAGCTTGGCGGTCCGCTCAAGGGGCACCGGCTCGATGTGGCCGTCGCGCAACACCTCCAGCTGGACATCACCCTTGCCGTGTAGCTGCTCCTCGTAGGACAGCGGGTCCACTTGCTTCTTGTCGTTCACCTAAAGCTTTAGATTACAAAGAAGAGGCGCTACCCACCTTTTGGACGATATCCCCGGGGACGAGCTTGTCGAGGGCAAAGTCCGCCTCGGCGTGCAGGAAGGAGATGCGCGACTGCGCGTCCAGCTCGATGTAGTTGCCCTGTGACTTGCGGATGTATTCATTCCTTGGGAATTGGAAGCACCGATCGGGTTCAGAATTTTTCGTTGATTCCGAATCTCCTTGAAAATCGGCTACAAACCACGAAAACGCCGCTTTTTGAAGCTAGAAAATGTCAAAATACTCAAATAAAACCACCATTGCGCTTATTTTTCACACCAACATCTCAATATTTTGGCTTTTTTGAATCGCTTCTACTTCAGACGCGCGAAAAATTTCCCCACCTTTTTCGGCCGATCCCAAGCCGGCACCTGAAGCTTCACGGTTTGGGCCAGCATTGGCGCCGGTTAGCGAAAAATTGCGGCTCTCGAATGAGCTTTTTGAGCGGGAAAAAGCGAAAATTTAGGCCGGAAATGCTCTCTAGCTATGTAGAATTCATTTCTAGCATTTTCGCAAATGTCCGGAAAGTAATTTCTCGTTTTTTGTCATTTAAGTTTTTTTTTCTAAAAATACCATAGTTTTTAACGTTTTTTGTCAAAGAATCTGTTCAGGGCGTAAGGAGTATTATACTGTACTTTGATCGACCAAATTGCCAGCCTTCCCCGTCCCTTTAATCCGCCCCAACATGCCCATAAAGATATCAATCGTACCACCACATACCCGCCAAGATAATCCCCTCACGGGAATCCCTACAATTTTGCTGAAGAATTACGGAAAAATTGATCCGGCATGCCCTTCGCCGCCTTCATTCCCTCCATTTAATCCTTCACCCCCCCGTCCATAGTATTTTCTCGGCTTCTTCCTTCCTCCATCCCCCTAATTGGGCCCTTTAATAATTCAGTCAACCCCTCACACAGCTTTCTCCACCCGCGCCGTTGCCCCCTACCCGCCCGAAAGCCCCGCAATTTATATCAAACCCCCCGGGCAATCCCGGGATTAAGTCGAAAACTTGAAAACTGGACACCTACTTTCAGAGGTAGAATGGTTCGACAATTTTTTCTGAGCTTCTTTCCGTATCGTCAATTTATAGCTTTTAAACCGAGTTTGATCAATCAAAAACTTTTTTATTTAATGCGTAGGCCTTAATCAAAAACCTTTTCCTGTTGATCGGATCATCGGTTCGTTGATAACTACCTTTAACGTGATTTTTCAGCTATTTCCTTCGGTTTTAATAGATTCCCCGCGCTCTAAAGGCGGCTAGCCCTTCAACCGATTCTTCAAAATCTTCTGTAGAGCCCGAAGTTGCTTTTTACAAGTTTTTAAATAATTTAAAAACCTTTTTTTGACTCTTTTTTTCGGCTTTAATGCATCGGTTACTCCTCGTTACCTGACTTATCTTGCTCAGAATCTTCTCGCGAATCCGAATGACACCTCAACTTTTATAAATTTGGTAGGTTCCTATTTTATCTTTTTTGGTTTTACTAAAATTTTTGCGGGTTTCAAGCTTGTCCAAGGCTACGCGCCGCTCCTTTGCCCACCAAAAGGCGGCGCCGCCGATCCGCCGTTCGGTTGATCGCGCTCCCCCCGTTGTGTTACTCGGTTAGTAAAGCGCCCGCGGGCGCGCCCGAAATTGCGCCCGCGGGCGCGCCCTCGGGCGCAATGGCCAAAAGCGCCCGCGGGCGCGCCCGAAACTCGAAAGCGCCCGCGGGCGCGCCCCAATCGCGTTGTAACGGCGTAGGACGGGTTCTTTTAATGCTTTTATTATTTAAAAAAGGGCACTACATCGCTTTTGACGATGCTGTACCCTATACTTAATGTAGATCTTCACGTTCCCTGAGAAATTGGTTGTATTGCGCACCTGAAATATGTTTTTTTTTTTGCTTTCTTGGCTTTAGCTTCGTTTGGAACTTACAGATACGTTCGAATGCGCGATAGACGGCCCCTAAAAGTGTAGCTAATTACCTAATTTCCTTTATAAACTTCGTAATTCGCACTTACTTTATTCCCGCTTCCTGAAAACTTGCTTTGATTTGCTTCTTGCCGACTTACTTTGCAACTCCGCCCAAAGATACCGGAAACGCGCGCTTCGCATTTGCAATAATGTCCATGATCGTCTGAAAGGTTGGCTCATATAAATCGAGACTCTATAAATCTAAATCTAAAGTATTTTTAAAGTTTTTTGAAGGGACTGATTGCGTAGCAAAACTTTACCTTCTTTACCTGCGCCATGGCGCTTCAAAGTATCGTATTCTACATTCGACGACCATAACCAAGCGAACCTAGTAACGTATTTGTTAATTTATATATGTTTTGAACATAAATAAGTGCATAATCCAGGAACTTAGCCGTTTTTTCCCAGAATTGAAAGGTGTTCACGATTCAAATGCGCCCGCGGGCGCGCCCCTAGTTGCGCCCATGGGCGCTTTTTGCGCCCGGGGCGGTTTTGCGCCCTTTTGCAAAATTGCGCCCGGGGCGCAAAAGGGTCCAGTTCGGGCGCGCTCGCGGGCGCTTTGGGTTTTCGGGCGCGCCTGCGGGCGCTTTGCTAACCGAGTAGTCATCGCAATATGTATGTTTTTAATATTATTTTTTATATTTATTTATCAATTAAACGATTAATTTTATTAATTCCGACCCCATCTTGCTGTTTATACCCGGGTCGCGTCAGCGTAGCCTCATTTTGCTCTGGAAGCGCGCAATGTTTTTTGTAGTTTTCGAAGGCTAAACAGCGAGGGGACATTTCCTTCTAACTCCGATCTTTCTTTTCTCGAAATATTCTTTACAAGGGTTTTGGCTTTAACAACATGTCGCATGCGCGCATTTTGAGCGTAAACTTGAGCGAAGAGCTTATAAGACCCAAGTAGCTTAGGGCGCCATCATATTGACACTTCTAACCTGTTCAGCCTTCCCAGCGTTTCATCATCTTGCTGAAGTCAAGATCACTGCCCCGAAATAGAATCCCAACAGATTTTACGTGAGGTTCGTGAGTCATTGGCGCTAGAGAACTCTTTTTTTGATGTAGGGGCCCTTTTTAAAAGCCAAAACTGACTGTTGCATCGTTCAGGGGCGGCAACTTCATATTGGATGTTTCTGTGTACGATGACGAGCTATTCTTAAAAAAGCGTTGAAGCCTATTGCTCTACTAAAAGCCCGGTTCCATTTCTCTAACTTGCGCTTTCAAAAAACACCCCATCCTGGGAGCCCCTGTTTACGAGAAGAGCCTTGTCTTCCGGGCAGCTACATGTCTGTCAGTTCTCCCTCCTTGTATAACTCGTTGTGTTCAGGAGGAGGACGCACACACACAAGGGGTGGGTGTCTCGGGGCGTATCTCACGCAGCCGGGGCTCTGGCCCGCCGCCTCGTCGTCGCAGCCCTTTTTCGAGGTGCGCCTCGCGATCGATTCACTCGCCTGTGTCTCTCTCTGCCCCCTCCAATTCGCCTCTCAGAACCCGCGAACACTTTTACCCCCGCCTCGCACACACACAGTGAGATATACACAACCCGCACATTCAACCGGCTCGTTTGTCTAACGCGGGAAAAGGTTGCCCGAAGTCTGCAAGCGCAAGATTTTGCGCTTTTTTATGGCATCAGCACCAGTTTAATTTTAGTTTGAGGGTTCCTGATCTGCATTAACTAAAAACAGCTTTGATAACGTCGTCGGATTTAGCTTCTGAGTACATCCTGCAAATCACTAATGTTGTTTTTTGCAGAGCTGTCCCGGTTTCCACGATTTTTTAGACTTTAGACGTTCCTGGCACTGATATTTCGATTGTAAGTTCTAAATTACGATCTTTTTCGTATAAGGGACATGCCCTTCATATTTAGCTTCAGTATCGCTAGTTTTTTAATAGTCTTGTTGTTTCCGCCCAATGAGTGCCAAGGCGATTAGTCAACCCATCGGCAACCTTTTTTTCTGATCGCCTCAACGTACCGGAAATGTGTCATCCCCTTCGATCCCAAACCTCCCCGTTTGCGTACAAGCTTGCGGCTTGTTGCCGAAATCTAGGTCGGCATCGATCGGCCAATCGAGGCCAAGCCTTTTTCCATGTTTTCGATCGACCCTGCCCATTGCCCCCTACCCCATCGCCTGCCCATGCGCACGAGCAAAAGTACAAATGTGTGTGCCGCTTGGCATCAACATAATCCGCTCTGTGGAAAGCTCGCGTAGCAAAAATGCTTTTTTAAACGTTAGTTATTAATCCGAACCTAGAAAACCACAAGAATCCTTCAAATTTTAACGGGATAAACGTTGAGCACGCTGTTCATCTCTGAATTTTCCAGTTCTTTTTCTTTTGGCGGAGACAGTTCATCTTGCTTTGAACGTCTGACTAGCGCCTTTCATGTTGCCTGTCTGCCACTTTCCGTATCGATTTGACGGTCGAAAGTGTAGAACTCTAGAACCAGGCTTATTTTTATGGGCAAAGAAAATCTAGCTTTTTAGCTTCCGAAAAATTTAGCTTTTTCTCCCCTTCCTTCTAATCGAAGGGCCATTTAGATGTGCGCGTTTTCTCGACAAATCGAACGTCTCGCCCAATTTCTATTTTTATCCGGACATTGACCTACTGTACGCCCCTGCAAATCCGAACCCTGTCGTCGACGGCGGACTACATTAGCGTGCCGCCTAATCCCGGGCGGCGCTTTGTCGTCACCCTATTCAGAAGATGGCAGCCATTCCGGGGACCCCCCGGTGTCTTCCACCACAATATCAGGAGGGTGTCGTCCCGGGCTGGCTGCCTCCTCCTCCTCTGCGCCCGATGCCGGCGCTAATCCGACGCCTTCTAATTTGGGCGCGCACCTCCAATCAATCCCGACATCGAGGCCTCCCGCTCTGGCACTCCCACAACATCGCCACGGATATGCGAGGAGCCAATTCAGCGGACGAAAACTCCTTTTTCTCTATATAAGACTTGAGCAAGTCTTTGATCTTACTTTACAAAACATCCTTGACGCGCCATTTCCGCTTTAGGATTCGGGTTTAGAACGCTTTCTAGGTGAACGGCATCATCAACTTCACCATTTTGCCGCGTCACCAATTCTGCCCGAACGCCGAAAAAGCGTCGCCTTTTTCATAGCGAATCGTAGGACCCCGCGGATTAGCCTCTATTTTGGGGATTCGGCCTTTTTCCGGCCTCCCGTCTCGCCCCAAGATATTGGCGTCATAGGCTCTAATTTCGTGGCCCGCAAATTATTAACGCAGCCGCGCACGCCAATCGCGGGGCCGCATTCAGGCGATTCCCGGCGTTGCAACAATGTTTCTGGAGGAAGCGGGGTGATTGAGGCGTTTTGCTTTTTCTAGGCGACCTAGTGAATGTAGCTTTGAGGTTTTGGGTTAGGGCATTTGTTTAGGGGGAAAAGATTTGTATTATGGTTCGAGGGAGTGATTTCGATAGCTAATCAGTCGCCAGTTTCCGATAATTTGAGCTAGAGAATCTGTTGTGTTTGAGTTTTCGGCAGCGTTTTTGAATTCCTAATCATCCTTCTCTGCTTGATGCAGGTTTAGATTTGGCAGATTTGCCTGTGCCTCGGCAACATGCACCACGCCGCGCTTATCTCGCATCGATATCCCGGTGATGGCTATTCGGTAAAGACGGCGTTGTTCTGTTTGCTCGGGCCGAAGCTTCGCCTCTCGACCAGCTGCGTCTTCCTTGGGGCACCCGCCGGGTGTCGATGAGTGCCACGTTGAGCTGTTCCACTCCGCACTTGTCGTCACAAACAAGACGTTATTACTCCCCGAATTTGCTAGTTTACAAACTCTCTGAGATTTCCGGACACGGTCTCATTTTATTGTTTTGGGCTTCTTTTCTAATCCGTGATTGACTGATTTGGGCAGCAAAGAGTCGTAACTTGCAGGCTATTACTGGCGCTTTTTTTGCGCGTTTTTCTTTCTTTCTTTCATTTGTTTAGCATTTAAAAAAATGGCATTTGGAATGGATGCTAAGCCTCTTTTTGAATTCGTAATTCACTGATTTAGGCGGAAAGGAGTATCTTTAGATTTCCCGACGCTTTTGCAATTCACATCTCATGCCCCTTTCCCAAACCGCAAACCCACCAAGACCTTGTGGGTAGGGGGATGATCCTGGAATCGGATTATTCCCCCTTGTTGCCGGGACAGCAGCGATGGCGCGTCTCCGCGCTTTTTCGGGAGCCCCCCCCCCCTCGCCTTGGCCCTCATTTCCACTACAAATTTCCGTTTCCATGTTCTCACAATTTTCTCCTATTTCTATCTCGCGTCTCCCCAGGACACCGACCATTTTCAGATAGCCTCATCAAGCCCATCGATTTGGAAGACGCGGCACAAGGAGCGCCAGTCTGCCACCACCCGTCTATTTGACGTATTTTGCTGAAAGGTGATTTTTTTGTAGATTTGATGACTCCATCGGGTTGCCGTCACTCGTGCCCCCGGCCGTCCCTTTTGCGGGCTTGTTTACCATTGCCCAACCATATTTCGATCGATGGGCTGCCCGGCAGCGAAAAACCGCTGTCCCGGTCAGATTAGCGAACTGTTTGGGCACATTTTTATTGCCGGGGACTCGCTATTAATGATTTTCTTATATGACTGAGCAGCTGGGATAATTTCGCTCGCGTCCGCGCATTTGGAGGTCAGCGCGTCAAAAAGAAAACAACATTAATAAGATGGCGTCGGTCCTGTTTTGAGCATTTTCTTCGCATTTCATTGATTTAGCGTGGTTTGCAGAAAAATTCGTGGGAAACTTCGCCAAAACGGCCCATAACTCGGTCTTCACTAGTGTGATAGCTTTCAGATAATCTCGATAATTCGATAAGTAAAAATAGTCCTATTTGCGCAATTTTATAGCCTTTTTTGCTTGCGTTATTTAGGAAAAACTTATTTTAGAAGGATCTTTTTATGATATAGCGCCTTCTTTCTAGCTTTCCGGCAATCGTTGGATTTCGGTTTTCTGAAACTAATTATCTTTTAACCTCTTTTCTTTTAGTATCCACAACTTCGAATCGACGGCGCACGGGTTATGACCATGGAGGTAGATGGCGATGCGGGAACATCGATGGACACGTCGGAGCCGATGAACGACTCGACCGTACAATGGAAATTCTCCCAAGTCAAGGGCAACGTCGACGGCGACGATGCGCATACTGAAGGTTTTAAAGGTTTCTACAGCCTCCAGCCATACTGATCTCTTTTTCCAGCCGACGTCATATCCTGTGTCGAATTTTCGCATGACGGCGAGTACCTGGCCACCGGAGACAAGGGCGGGCGAGTCGTCATCTTTCAACGGGATCAAAGTGTGCGTAATTTGCGGCGCCGGGGTTAATTCGGTGCTTCCCGTTCTCGTTGTTTTGGTTTATTTCATGCATGTTCGTAGTATTTTAGCTGTTTCGAAAGACTAAAAAAGATGGCTAGATAATTTTTATTAGTCGTTTTTGTACATTTCGCCATTTCTCGTCAATTTCGACCAAAAACAGAAAATTTGTTACATTTTCATGATGTTTTTACCTAGAAGGGGCATTAAATGCTATAAAATGGCCTATTTTTGATCCTTGGCCCCACGATTGCATGGGAAACAGTCTCACGATTAACGGGAAGCACCGGAATTTCGAATATTAAATTATTTTGCCGTTTTTATGTACTTTTTTCAGGGGAAATACGTGAACGGCCGTCGCTCACGAGAATACAACGTCTACTCCACATTCCAATCGCACGAGCCAGAGTTTGACTACCTGAAATCGTTGGAGATTGAAGAAAAGATTAACCAGGTTTGGATTTGCTCCCCCTATCTCTATTTTCGCTTTAGATTAAATGGCTAAAGAAGAAGAATGCAGCAAACTTCATCCTGTCGACGAATGGTTGGGAATTTCCACAAATTCTTATATTTTTTGTTTAGATAAAACCGTCAAGCTATGGAAAATCTCGGAGCGCGAGAAGAAGTTGTCAGAAGAGTCGTGGAACGTGCCGCGACGGTTTGTAACGTCTTCCTCTCCTCCCAGGTATATTTTCACGTTGGAATTTAACTTTTTAATTTTCAGGGGCCCCAACCCGAGCCAATTCGGCGGTACCCTCAAGATACCCCAGATCGTGCCGATGGAGCTGATCGTTGAGGCGAGTCCACGCCGAGTGTATGGAAACGCGCACACCTACCACATCAACAGCATATCGGTGAATTCTGATGAGGTGAGTATTCGTTGTTTTTATCTAATTTTTTTGCTTTAGGAAACCTTCTTGTCGGCCGACGATCTGCGCGTCAACCTTTGGCACCTGGAGATCACGAATGAATCATTCAGTGCGTTTTGAATGATTGTGTATCTCTCGAAAGTTTAGTATACGAAAATTCGGCAGCTCAAAAATTCGTGATTTGGAAATGTCTACATTACTAAGTTGTTTGTCTTTGAATTTAGAGATGAGATTTTCGGCAATATCAACCTAATTCAATCTAGAGAATGAAATCTGATTTTGGTGGATTTTTTTAGACGATGAAAGTTTTCGGTTTTATTTAGTTTTTTTTTGCTATCTGAACTCCTGATTTTGTAAAGAAAAATCCAATTTTCAGACATTGTCGACATCAAGCCGGCCAACATGGAGGAGCTCACCGAGGTGATCACCGCCGCCGAATTCCACCCGACGAAGTGCAATGAGTAATTTTGGGTCGCGTTTCTTGTATCGTTTTTGCTTCAGATTTGTCTACTCATCGTCGAAGGGTTCCATTCGGTTGTGCGACATGCGCGACAAGGCCCTCTGTGATCAACATGCAAAGTGTAAGTCGGTGTTTGTGAAGATGAAGCTTGTTTTTTTCCAGTATTCGAAGAGGCCGAGGACCCGCAAGCGCGCTCCTTCTTCTCGGAGATCATAGCGAGCGTGTCCGACGTCAAGTTCAGCCACGACGGGCGGTATCTGCTCACGAGGGACTACTTGACCGTCAAGGCGAGTTTTATTTTGGGAAAATTTTCTAGGATTCTTCAATATGGCTCGAAAATCGTAGCTTTTCATTACGTTACCCTTTTCTCGTCGTGGCGAGCGTTTTAGCGTGTTTTATATTTGATTTTCTAGCTTGTACAAAGACCGTTTTGAATTATATGATGCTTTTCTCCCTTTTATTCCTCGTTTTAGGTCTGGGATCTGCACATGGAATCGAGCCCGGTGGAGACCTACCCGGTGCACGAGCATCTTCGCTCCAAACTCTGCCAACTCTACGAAAACGACTCCATCTTCGACAAGTTCGAGTGCGGCTGGAGTGGAGACGACAAGTGAGTTTATTGCTCGCTATTTTCCTCTATTTTTTATCGTCAATGCCCCTCCAAAAACCTTCTTTTTAGACACGTCATCACCGGATCGTACCACAACCTGTTCCGGACGTTCTCCCGCGACGGCGGCGAGGCCAAGATGTGGGAGGCGAGACCGGGCGACCCGCACACGCCGCTCCGGAATCGACGGATCCCTACGAGTGGGTCGACGCGGAAGAAGCGGATTGGTAGGGGAGAAACGTCGTGTTGTGCTGCATCTCGCCGTGTTGGGATTAAAAAGGCTCTCTTTTTTGGTGGCTCTGGCTGCTTTTTCTGGGTTGCGCATCTCTGGCAAGGGCGAGCGTGAAATTCTTGATCTTTTTTTCGGGGGTTAGGGTTGAAGGAAAGTGAAGTGATCAGCTGAATTTTTGCCTTTTATCAAAAAGCGTCCCAAGGCTCTTTCGTTGCGCTTTGGCTGCTCAGTTCATCACTTTCATTCCCTTTTTCGATTCTACACTCGGGGGAGAAAACTTTGGAATCACTCGTTTTTTTTTGGCATCTTCTCTAGCCGTTTATTCGATTGGAGATTGGTTGTCTAGCTACTTTGACATGACAAAACAGTGTGGAAAGCTTGAAGAAAATGGAAACTGCTAAAATTTTGTAAATGAAAAATCTTAAAATCGAAATGATCTAAATAAAATGGGGATCTCTTACCCTTCTATTGGTAATTTCGATGGAATTTGGTTATTAATCTGATCTGTAGCTTTTCCAGACGGCCGTTTTCCAGTCTTTTCGATTTTGTTTTCAAACTTTGCACACTGTTTTCTCAGGTTAAGCGGTATTAAACGAATTTCAGACAGATGTTAAAACAGCTAGAAACAGAAAATTATGCTAAGAATGAGTGATTCTATAGTTTTCTCGCCAGCGTGTACGATTGATTCTTTTACTCGAATTCATTCCTTTTTTTCCAGGCCTGGCCAACACCGACGACGAGGAGCTGTCCCCGGAGGGCCTCGACTACACGCGCAAGATTCTGCACGCCACGTGGCACCCGCAAGAGAACATCGTCGCCCTGGCCGCCACCAACAACCTGTACATCTTCTCGGATGTCTGAAGAAGCCCCCATCCCTCTTCCGCACATCCCCCTCCACGCCCGGTTTCCCTATTCTATATCTCGTTCTCTTTTCGTGCTCCCACAATTCGTTTGCCCCGAGAGCTTTTCGTCTCCTGTCTCTCTCTTTCTTTCTCTCGCCGACACCCCAGGGTCCCCCTCATCCTCCTCCTCCTCCCCGTTATAGGCGGTCGCTATTTGCCATTGGTCCTGAGCGGGTGTTCGTCTCGGAAATCTTGGAAGATTTATTACTGAAAGATTTGTCTCCCTCTCCCCGCCCTCTATCCAAATATCAGCACTCGGCACCCCCATCACCCACCCGTTGTTCACCACCGTCCCCTCAAATTGTAAGTCCATAGTTGTGTTAGATCATTCGAAGAAGGCTGCGTGCTAGCAGCGGCTCGTCGCTCACACACATCAACCCCTATAATTCGTTGTTTGTATATGCGCGTTCTCTCTATAAACGTTAAGTTAACCGGAAACACGGGGAGAAGGAGCATATGCAGGGACGTGTGCCATTTCCGGTGAATTCCTTTCAATTTTACTATTTTTTGTGTTGAAAAGCAGGTTTTTTGACGATTCCACCGCAGCCGCTAGGTTCCGAAAAGCTAGAGAAATTATTTCCGATTAAACGAAAAAGTTTTATGTTATTTTTCGTAAAACTTGTACTAAACCAATTCCTTTAGGATTTTTGCAACTTTTTAGACCTCAAGCTTGCCGTATAATCGTCCGAACAACCTGATTTTCACAAAAAAATTTAGGAAAATACACGGAATCCGCCGGAAACGGCCTCAATGTCGTGTCATTTCCGCCCGCCCGTTTGTGTCGCACAACTCGGCCATCCTGCCCTCCCCCCTCTTCTCGACTTTTCAAACATCCAACTGGGTCCATAAATATCGGTGTGTGTGATTTACTAGTGACGCTTTCCGCTTGACGGGGCTGCTTTGACCAAAGTCAAATTAAAAAATCGTTTCCGGAATTCTTCGACTCTGAGACGAACGCCCGCTTCCCACCCTCCTTGGCCAGTAGTTGATCAGCCCCGCCCCACGCCCGCCCACGCATCCATTACGATACCGAAAACGTGTTGTGTCCTCCGCTCCTCATCTACCATCTGCTATTGTCCTCCCCCGCCCCGCCCCGGTCGCCGGCCGATATTACGAAGATTTGGCGCATGTGCGTGTGTTCTGTTGAGTTTAGGTTCTATGCAAAATTTGTGCTCCACAAGTTAACTTATGCCCTCGCGTTGGTGTAGACGGGCCGATGTGTGGTGGGGGATGGCGTGCAGACCAGAAACGAGAAATTTTGGAGAAATTCAACAAAATTTATTTTCTAGAGGCTGGCTGCATGTCATCGGGTCTTTTTAGAGGTGTTGCGCATGAAATTCGATATCGGGATAACATTCTGGTTAGGACACCGCGCAAAAGTCAAGGAAAAATAGTTTCCCGGTATCGAATTTAGATACTTGACAACTCTAGTACTTTCAAAGACCTCAAAAATCTCTTCCCACCCACATTGGTCTTTTATAGGCACGTTTTCCAATTGCGCAGCGGTGCGGGCGTGAGGTTGAAGCCGAAAACGGGATCACAATTTTGAGCAGCTACAAATTGCGGAAAAAGAAAACTTCGAATTTTGCACATCTAAAAACTCTGCAGAAAAGAAAGAAAACTGCCGAAAATTCACGGTCCCGAAAAACGATCCACGCCGAGATCAGCGCCCGCATCGACATCGCGTCTCCTCCTCCCCGTTGATCCGTATGCATTCGACATGTACTCCGCGGTGTTGTGTGCCGCGCCCCTCCAACATTATATTTGCTGCTTCCCCAGCCAGCCCGCCCGCCCCGGTCAGCCGGTATCCTCTATATCATCTCCTTATTTATCGCTCGTTTATATGCCCCAATCCAGGCGGTTTTTAGCGCTCGAGAACTCGTCAATCTTTTCTCCTCTTCTTATTGGCGCCCCCGAAATACACACACACTCTCTGTGCCCTCCACGGCGTATCTATATTCTTTTCGCTCCCCCGGTTATTACGAATTCCTTTTTTAATAAAGAACGCGAGTCACTTGGGTGTTGTTGAAATGCGTGCAAAATACGGACATGCAGGCAGAAATGTGCCAAAGAGTGTTTGAACAGAAAGGGAGGGACATTGAAAAAACTAATGATTCTTTAGGCTTCTGAAGCGAAACGGCTCGACGGAAGATGGCCATGGATCGCTGCTTGCCTGCCGGCTTGGACGCGAGACGGGCGATGAGGGCTGGATTAGGGCAGGTACCGAATTTTCACAAGTTTGTCTGGGACTAGTCTAGGACAAGTTCTTTCTATATCCAAAATTCGTCTGTAATTGTTTAAAAACGGCTTCGTTAAGTAGGCTTGTAAAATGAATATGTTCTTATTGCCACAACGCATCCTCAGGCATCCACTTACCTCTCTAGAACTGGTAGAATCTTTCTAAACTTGTCCAAGAAGCTGCTCTAAAGTTTAACCTATGCTTACTTTGGTTTCTCTACTTATTACGACCTTTCTGGCAACAACGCGTTTTTGTTTTGTCTCTATTAGTGTTAGAAAAGAGTGGGATCCGTTATAGAAGCTGATTTTTGTTAACGAATCTTGTAAAAATGAATTTCTTTTGACTACTAGAATGGAACGCTTCTTTTCTTTGCTTTGCTAGACTTTGGTATACTGAAATAAGCTAAACTGTTTGGGGAAGCTTGTAAAACGTGGATTTTGCGCACTGCTTCTTGATTTATTTAGCTTGTGAATATTGCGTTTCAGCTACTATTTCTTTTCTATTTATTTAACTTTTAAAGCTCAATCCATGCCTACTTCGTGGTCTCAACTTATCTATTTCCGGCCATTCCTCCCGGCAACGCGTCACAATTTAGCAGCCGATCTAGATGGATTACGGCCGGGTGCGGCTGATTGTCGCCAATTTTTCATTTCACTTCCCCGGGTGCAGACTGGTGGGATTTGGCCTGTGGGGGGTGCCGTGTTTCCGTCAAGCCGCATCCGCTTGCAACGCGCGCCTGTTACACACACCACCACGACACCACACTCCTCGCTTGAACAGCATGTCCGACATCGGGCTTTTGGCTTTTCGTTTTGGGGCTTATTCATAGGGCTTTGCCTCCATCTCGATATATCATTCTTTTTTTTTGGTTCTTTCGCATTATCGGGGGAGGGGGGCTTTTTCGGAGCCAATTTTTCAAATATAGATATCGGAAGTGTTCTAAATTATTTTTTTACCATTCCTAATCCTAAAAACTTTTAGATTTTTATTAAAAACGTGCAAAAAACATAGATTTCTCTTGCAAAAATGGTCGATTTCCGACCTAATTGGCAACGAAAAAAATATATAGTTTATTATCGTTTATTTTATTGTTTCCGCTTAAAATACAGTTCCATTTTGCTAAAAACACTGGTAAAACACTTACTATTACATCTGGACTTTTAGGAAAACGTTACCCCCGATAATACGTAAGAACCTATTTAATTTTTTCTGAAAGAAATCAGCAGAATTTTGATTTTTCTCACCCTCGAGCGCTCTCTCCTTCCCTCGAGCAGGATTTTTTAGGAATTTTAGGATTTTGTTTGGCTTTCTGATCGGCTTTTGGTGTCGTCAAAAATCTTCGCATTCCTTTTCTTTCTCCTTTCTTGGGTTTGAAGTATCACTAGCTTCTCTCTCCCGCTGTCTCTCTCTCACCCCCTCTCTCTGCGTTGTGTACTTCTTGAAGATGTCGTCTCCCGGCGCCGCCCCTTTAAAGGGGCCATTACGTTTGCAGCAGCGCCGGGGGGTGGGCGGGTGGCGGCGAGCCCTGGGGCTTTGGGTCCTTATGTGATGTTTGTGGATGGTGAGGTGAAGGAGGGGATGTGAGAGGCTCTCAACAAATGCACTCCATGTACCGTCTCGTCCCCTCTAGGCGAAGAGGAGCCGCCCTTTGTCTCTGATACCATATCCGTCACCACCACCACCACAGCTACCACCATCAAACAAAAAGCCGATAAAGCCGCTGTGTAGGATATTTTTGACGGGATTTTCGCTTGGCTGTTACGGTCATTTCCCAAAGGGTCTCTGCCAGCACGCCCCGTTTTACCTGATTGCATAAAATTTCGCCAAAAATCGGTTCCAGGGCACTGTAGTTTCAGGTCCTCGGCTAAAAACTGTTTTTTTTTCTTACCGGCAACGATTCAGAAATGTTTAAAATAGCATTTGCCGTTCAAAAAAAAGCGCCGGAAAGACCGTAACTTTGTACTAAATAATTTGTAAAATAAATTAAATCATGGTTTTCGGTCGCGTTTTGATTGGATTTCCGGTTCTTTTGCATTATCGGGGGAAAGGGGGTTTGTCTAAGGACCCAATTTTTCTAATATAAGTGTAGAACAAGTGTTTCTAAGCTGTTTTTTGTACTATTCATAAAGGTAGAAACTGCAAATTTTTATGAAGAATTACAAAACGTAACCGGTTTTCGACAAAAATGTCCGCTTTTCGACCAAATTTTGACGATTACGATGAAGTGTTTCTAACCAGTTTTTACGACTCCTAAATCTAAAAACCTTACAAATTTTGATTCAAAATACAAAAACATAGATTTTTCGACGAAAAATTACCGGTTTTCGCAAAAAATGTCAACAATCTTTCTAAAATTTGTTGCACGTTTTTCCACTTGACTATTAAAATACCTACGATTTCTGCTAGTCATTTCTAGACTCGTACGAAAATAGTTCCCCCCGATAAGGCTAAAGATTCTCTTACAGTATGCTCCATTAATTTAATGATTTTGTTAGAATTTTGGGGTATTTTTCTTCGACTCATTTCCCTGATTTAGCCGCCTTTTAGACATGGCCAGGCGTCGGTTGAGTGGCCCATTAACTCTAACACCCCCCATGTGTGCTGTTGACGAGTCGCCCGGGTGGCTGAGCTTTTCCTCTCTTTGCCTAACTGTTTTATGACCATTTAGTCGTGGGGAATGGGGGATTTGGGCGTAAGTTTTTGAGTAGGTAAAAATG